AATCAAATAATGAAAGTCATGTATTTGTAGCAAACATTAAATGAAAATGAACGCCAAATATAAATTTACATTTCATTATCTCCATATGAATAGGGCAATGACAATGCCAGAAACTTTATTACATTTGGTGCTGAATTAAACCCTTTGTCAATTTTTAGGAAGACAGAAGTCTTTTTCCTTGAATAGAAGTAATAAACTACAATTGTTCAGCTCAAGGAAAGATAATCAGGAAATGGATGCTGATTGTATTTTCTTAATCTAATAGTTATTACAGAACTGCAACTAGCTAAAAATATTTTCCACTGAATATCATTTCCTAGCTGTGCAACAGAAAAAAATATATTTTGTTTGTTGCTATATTTAAATTTTCCTTTGTTTCTATATTTTGCTTATGATCACAGAATAATACCATAAAGGACTGCAGTTGTGGTCTTTTATATGCATTAATTCATACATTACAGTGGACCTTGTGTACTAGTTAATAAAGCACGGCAGTGCAAAGTGTAGGGATGAGGTTCATGTTCACCACTACTATGACTTTGTAGCATGTGCTTGATGTTTCGAGGTTTGCAAACCCTGTGAAATAGTGAATTCGTATAGTAACCATAATGTACAGCCTGGCCTTTGAGCATAGGACAGCTGGCTTAGAAGTGCCAATCAGGGGCTTGTAGAAAAGCAAGCCCATTCAATATAAAACGGCAATACCACAGTAGCCATACTGATAATGTACTGTGATAAGGAAAGCTTAAGGAGTGCAGCTGATAAAGCGCATAAGGAGAGGTTATTGTAGGGCTTGTAGGCACTAGCAGGTTTGTTAAAGTAAATGTAAACGCTTACTAAATGTCATGTAGGTAGTCACATTTTGTGCATCTTGGAGAATAAGTTTGTTATCTTTTATATATCTGCTGTTACCTCTTAATGCTGCTGATGTCCTGTAGCCTCTTTATGGCATGTCCCTGTCCATATGCACTACAGTGATACCAGGCTGCATGGGATTTTTTTTAACAAGGCATATTTCCTAATTGTTGCCAGCTGCAATTGTTTTTTACAGGTCTTTTTTTAAGCGACCATGCTTGTAAATGAAAGTTCCCTACTGTGGAAAGGCCCACCTACCAATTTCAAACTGCCTGCAAAGGGGATTTAAAAAAAAAGATGTTGCTTAAAAAAAAGTTTTAAAAATACTTATCTTGTTCCTATCTTTTAATGCCTCTGAGAAGCACAAGGGCGTAACTGCCTCACAGTTACCCCCTGGTGGAGCAGGCAGGAATGGTGCCCTGGAGAAAGACTCGCAGGAAAGGTCACCGAGGACCAAGGAGGATTTAAATAAGTTTCCCACCAAATGTGGTGGCCCCACAAATTTTAATTGGGTGACGTAATTTTACCCAGTTTGCATTGGCACCTCTGTCCATGTTTGCTTGACCAGGGCAGAAAAGGTCTTACAGGGAAAAAATACCCTAAAAAGTATTTAAAACAAAGTAAATCTGTAAATATGTTTTAACAAAATTGAACATGTATTTTAATAAAATATGTGACTGTGAACTTTTCTTCTAGATAATATGAGAGGAATTGGATCACAAAGAGCTTGGGAAAAAAAGAAGAAACAAACACTAAATAAATATAAAATTAAATAGAGAAAAACAAGTAAAAGAAAAAAAAATTACATCAGGGAATCTTCCACTCTGAGGCCACATAGGCCAGGAAATTCTCACTAGTTTATATGGAAGGGGTTGCAGCACAAACAGCTTGGACAAAGTGGGGTTTAAAGCACCATACTTGGAAGTGGTTAGGGTGTAGTTTGTTTTGCAGCTCCAGATGTGCCCATTTAGACTGGCTGCAGGGTAATCCAGAAGCTCCAGTCCATACTGTGCAAGGTCCAGCCAGTAGTCCACCCTGGACACCCAATAGTCAATAGGGTCATCAATTCTGAGAGTGTTTGCATCAACCCTGAGCACAGTGTAGTCAGCAATTGTTTGGTTCAGGGGCTGCCTGTGAGTGCTGCCTGAACCTGGGCCTGGTTCTTGTGTCTCTCACCACTGGCTGTGGTTCCATTCTCCAGCCACTTCATTACCACAGGATTCATCAGTGATGTATGGGGTAGAGCAGGGCTCAATATTTCAGGCCCTGAGCTACTAGCCAGGCCTTAAAAGTTACTCGCCACCAGTTGCCCTGCATAACAAAAACACACACAGGGCACAACCCACACCAGCACAACCCACAGGGCACAGAGCATTACAAATACAGCCACAGCACAATGCACAGAGCAATACACATACAGCCACAGCACAATTCACAGAGCATTACACATACAGCCACAGCACAATTCACAGAACATTACACATACAGCCACAGCACAACGCACAGAGCAATACACACACACACAACACCCAGACCCATCTCTATGTCCCCCTCAATTACCTGATGGCAGGGGCCTGACACTTGAGATTAAGCCATGCATAGTTATTGCAGCTAAGGCTGCAAGAAGGGGACCTGCGGCCCAGCAAGTTGCTGGGGCCCCTCCCGTGGTCTGCCAGTCCACCTTAGGGCTTCCCCTGTATTGTGACGTCCGTGAAGTTACAGTGTTCTATCATTCCGTTGGACCCGTGACTTTATCGGATTAAAGTTACGGGTCAGATAGAATGATAGAACACTGGGAGAGATCACGGACACACGGCAGCAATAAAAAGTAACCGAATGAATACCCTGTGGGTGATACACTCACCCACTGCTGTCATGGCTCTGCAAAAGCAAAACTACAGCTCCCATAATGCTCAGTGTGCAGACTGGAAGTTACGCTGCCAGCAGGAAATGAGAACGGACCTTAGTAAAGATGGCTGCCGTCATGCAGGCCATCTTTACTATGGGAAGGTGCACGGCCGTGAGCAGCAGCATAGGGGCAAGCCATCCTCGGTCCATGACTGACTCAATGGGGTTGATTTACTAACCTTATAAACACATATAAGCTCTATGTTGTGTTGCTTGCGTTGATGAATGCAGGAATGTAAATGCATGAGCTAACCATTTTTGTCTAAACTGTGAAGCAGCATTATATATGCATCATGTGCATGATTTTTCCATATATGGCATTAGTGGAAATATGCTTTTAGAGACTTTTTGGTTGATAAATACGTTTTGCTGTGTGAAAATCACACGCACCTGGTGCGTGCGTGTGTTTAGGTTAGTAAATCACCCCCAATGGCTTCATTTCCACTCGCCCCCATGCAATTTTCACTCGCAAATTGCGAAGGGGCGAGTGGACATTTTGAGCCCTGGGGTAGAGGATAGAACTACAGTGAATGGTAGGGAAACACAGGCTTCTGACACTCCTGAAAGTGTCATATAGTGAAGCAACAATGATACAGGCGGCAGTGCTGGACCTAAGGGGAGGTGGGGGACACGGCCCCCCACAGAAATGTGTAAGGGCTTTTCTCCTGCAAGGACATAACAGTTTAATTTCTTGAGATACCTGACATGTTCTCTTTAAAGTATATCTATACCCAAAAGCAAAATGTCATATGTTGCAGTTTACCACTCCTTAAATGTGGTGATTGCATTACTTTTCTTGTATTAGGCTTTTTTCCCTTCACTTTTACCTGTTGATCCAACCAGTAATTTTGCTTTTTTTTTTTTTCAAGCTGTCCAGCAAAAGTGGCAGGTAGAGGGTTGAGACAAACCATTTAAAAATGACAGGGATGCTTACAAAGGTTAACTTTTATTAATTTGTAAAATCTTTATCACAAAAGAGGGAAACAATTTTGCCGTAGCAGCTTAAAAAGCTGGAGAATGAATTTAATTAGTTAGTCAAGTCCATCTAAATTTGCTAGTGCATCTAACAGTACCATTGTTACAGGCTGGATCACCAGGTGAAAATAAAGCCTAAAAAGCTTACAAAAAGAAAACTAATGTAGCCACAACATTTAAGCATTGGTAAGCAACAATATATTATTTTTTTGTTTGTTTTTGGGTCTTGATATGCTTTAAGTCGGGCAATCCCTTTTTTGGTAGGAGAAAGGAAAGGTGTCCTCCTTTGAATCAATTTGTAGTGTGTATTGTGAACCCCCTATTATTTAGCCTATTTCGAAAACAGTGCCAGGTTTTTAAACTTGTAATAATCTGATGTTCTGCCTTGAAGTAATCAATACAGTAAGTCATAGTTAAATGTTATATTATATTTACCATATTAAACTAAAGTTTAAAATGTTAATATTGTATTAGTAATCAAAATGGAGGAACTATTGAAAAACATTATTGATTCCCATTAACAGATACATGTCAGGATAGAAATATGGGAAAAGCCATTGCTGAGGTAGTTACAGGGTCAGAGGTCACCTAAATTATGACATTTGCTGAATTCTGACAAAACAAGTGGGCATAACAGTGTATAACAGGGCTCTGTGGTTGAGGAAGGCAAACACTTACAGGGCTCTGTAGGATACTGTTATGCTTACATAGGAGGTGGAAGACCCTCTGTGTTATCTGCATTAGTACAGACAGATGACAGGGTAGCAAATGTCAGACCATATGGGGCCTCTCTCCTCAATTTTCAAATCCAAGAATCATCTTTAGAAGAATTAAGAAAAGCTAAAAAAAGGTATTAATAATACCTTCATAAGTAAACCTCTAGAAATAAAACACTTTAGGCACTAAATCTTTAGATTTTTGCACATGACCACTATTGACTGGTTCCCTTTAATGCCAATAAACTATTAGGTTTTGCCAAGCTCGGTTGTGTACAAGAATGTGAAATAGTGTGCTTTAGATAGTGGGGTTTCTTTTTTCTATCAATGTGACCTTATAAGTAGGTAATAATTACTAACAATGAGTAAGATATTTTCCATTATGTTTTAATCATGATGTTTACCTTGGAACAATACTAGAAAAGAGGTTGTAATTTCACTGCGGAATGCTGCATGATATACAAAGAATAACATAATGCTGAACAAAGCTGAATGACATACACTTATTGGAGGACGCATTTGATTAACATTAAAACCCATTCCTACCTGAAAAACTTTTGTAGTCTACTAAATCGAAAATTACAATGGCTACTGCTGACCATGTAACAATGAGGGCAACAACAAGTAGCCATGCCGCTGGAGAACTGAATGTTGTCTTCAGGTCCTGAGAAACAGATCTTGTCATCTTCCCTGGTAGTTTGTGAATGGATCCATTTTTGCCATCTAAAACTGTGGTAGTGGTGGTAGATGTACGACCTACATGAGAAATAAAAAAGTGTTAGTAGCACAGAATGTGACCTGGACAAAATACAATATTTGTACATTAGTTTAGAAAATAGGAAGCTAAGAATCGGTACATATTTTGCAGTAAATAATGAAAGACGATACTATTGTTACCAGGAAAGAACATAGCATTTTTTTTACTTCCATTCCTGCCAAAGAGCTCATTTCCATTACCCTACTGAAAATTGTTACTATAGTGTAGATACATCAGCCAGGTATTGTTAGCTGCAGAAAACATAGATTATACTTTTGTATTTTCCACACAGAAAGGTCAATTTGCTAAGCTGTATGTTAACTGCATTTTTCTAATTTACTCCATGATAATTCTCCCATATACATGTCTGATTCAAAAAGATAAATATCATATAAGACATGTATTCTTTTTTTATTTTTACACAATTTCTCAGGAGTCTATATTTTACCTGAAATGCCTTGTGATCCTAATTGCCTCCTCACTAGTCATTATAGAACCTCCCCATTGTGTTCAGAAATCACTTTCATATCTACAGGTCTATCTACAAGTCATTGATATATAGATGTCCATACTAAACATAGCAGCCTCAGAATATATCAGTTACATGGACAAAAACATTTTTTTTAATTATTTCTAAATGTTTTATGCCTTTAAACTTATCTACTCTACAAACATTTGTTTTGTTTGTAGGGGTGTTCCCAGCCTTTCTACTGCCAGAGGCAAAGTGTGAAATAGTGCCCCCTGACCTGGACCATGTGTAACACTGTAGCCATACAAACCTCAGACACAATTCTTAATTCTTTAATTTAATTCTAAATATGTATTCATTTTTTTTAAATAATTCCACCAAAGATCTGTCATGCATCGGTTTACATCTGATTACCACCTTGACGCTGTCTAGATTTGGCAAAAAAAAATGGAACAGAGTTCTGTTTTGGTGAACCTGATCACGACGGATCAAAGCCAACTGGATGTATACGGACGCATGTCCACTTACACCTGACTGCTCATAGACCTAACATGAGTCCATTCGTTCAGTTTTTCCTCCATTGCAAGATGAAGGAAAAACTGAATGTACACAGATGTCACAAAAGTCACACGTGTTGCAATCAGCAGGGGTTCTGTGCATGGATAATGATATTTTATAACAGCGGTCGCTAACCGGTGGTCCGTGGACCACTGGTGGTCTAGGAGAAAATTTTGGTGGTCACCGGACCCCTCTGATGCCGTGCAGGCTGGGCCGTCATTGAAGCGCCGCGGAGGCTTCGGGCCTGCCTCTCACTGACTCAAGCAGCGGCTGCCACAAGGAATGCACGGCTCTCAGTACAGTACGGGCTCTGCAGGAGGCGGGGCATCTCGTCAGTGCCCGGACTGAGCAGGCTGTGGGATATAGAAAAATTGGGGAGAAGCCAGGTAATAGTGGCTCAGTGTGGGGGAAGGGGAGGCACGGGGGTGGTCGGGGGCAGTGCTGAAGCTAGGGGAGACATGTGCCCCGGGCGCCGCCAGCAGGGCCAGTGGCAGATTCGATAGGGGGAAACAATTTATATTATTATTGGGGCGGGCGGCACCGGCAACGCTCCCTCCACCAGCACTGCAACTCCTCCAGGCACACCCGCACCTATGTATGTATGTATGTATGTATATATATATATATATTCTCATATTTTTTGTTTCCTTATATATAGATACATTCTCATATTTTTGGTTTCCTTATATATAAATATATTCTCATATGTTTGGTTTCCTTATATATAAATATATTCTCATATTCACATTGGATAAAACTTTGGGATTTGTGACCACATTAGACCTACAGGGTTAATTTTAGTCTGTAGAATAAGTTCTGAGGGCAATAAATATACATTGCTAAGATAGATAAGCAAATGCATCTTATTGCACAGAGGAGGATCTGTATCTATATAATCTGGGGGATCTGACTTCAGCCCTTCTATACTGGAAACTTCACAGTTTATTTTTCCTAATCAGTCCCCCTAACATGGCCCCTAGCAGCCATGTGGGCTGTTATGACTATTGTTACACCACTACTGCACTGCCAACATGCTGCTCTGCCTGCCATCCCCCCTCCACTTGACAGAATGAGGTGCTGCCTTAGACAAAAATCTCAGGTTGCCTCATTATAAGAAGGGTTCTGGCTGTGTGCATAATGAGAAGTAGACACAATCAGTTTATTTCTCTCTGGGATTCCACTGGAGAAAGGCTTCCTCACTTTCTGTAGCCTCTAACACTCATACAGGAAATGTAGTGTGCTGTTGTCACTAAAATAGAAAGGCACAAACAGCATTAAAATGTTGATGTTCTAACTCTTACCCTTTTTTTTCTGTTTGCAAAATTTCCACATACTTCCTGACAGAGGCTCTAAACTTTTCTAACTCTGTGCATAACATTGTAAAACGTTTTGGCTGGAATTTGGCTTTGAAATAGCTTGGTATAAAACTGCTAGAAATACTGCATGCCGGATTTGCCTTGCTGATATGGTATGTTAGCCAATGTGTTATTTCTAACCAGATGACGATAATAATGCATACTAACGTTTTTGTGACTAGACCCCAGAGTCAGAAAATCCTGCACCAAGGTGTGTAGAGGTTTAAGTGGTGAACTATGAAGAGAAACACCAGAAGTCTGATTGGTGTAAAATAAGCTTGACCTGAGTGGACCATATCTGCTATAATTACAACAGAAATGTTAAAAAATGTACTCTTACTTTACAGACAGGACTTCAGGTTTTCACCTTGCAGAAAACAATCATTTTAATTGTTTGACAGTACCAGAAACTCACACTGGCTTTAGATAGAAATGGTAATGTTATGAACACCAAAACTACAAAATGCCTACTGTGCAAAATATATATGCCATTTTTAAAAAAATTAAGTTTTTGTTTAATAAGTTAAAATCAGAGGACCAGGAAGCAGTAGAACAAGTAATACAGTTCCTTGAGATGAGCACATGCATTTAACAACATCAAATGTAAATACATTAACGTGAATATATAAAAGATGTGTATTTATTCCACAAGACCGAGAAAAACATCTTGGTATCATCTATAATTTATCATACAGTTTTTCATAATTTTATTGACACAAGGCACATTTCAATTCAAATTAAGAACCCGTAGCTTGTGTAACATTGTATAGCATATCACACTGTGAAAACTGTACCTAATTACTGTCAAGAAAAAGCAGTAGTGGTTTATTATCTAATGATGAACCATGGTGAGAAGTTATGATATGTACTATAGGGAATCAAACTTAAATGCCTTTTGCTAACATTGCTCATATGACCCGTATTAATCTTCTTCCAACCATGGTAAATGTCAAGTCATTAGCTAGTAAAAAAATGTCTAAAGACTACAACAGTATTAAAGATGTCATGCTTACTTAGTAATTAATGACCACTGTTCATAGAAATCAATTATTCTTTGTGATAAAAAGATAATTCAGCCCACTGACAATATTTTATTGGCTAAAATAAGTGACTTATTTTCATATGTCGAAATGAAAACACAGTTTATAGAACTGAGAATAAATTAATGTAGCACCTAATAGCAGTCAGGCTATTGCCACTTTTACTTGGTAGAGTCATGTATATAGTGTATGAACAGAAAGCTCACTCAATCCAGGTAGCAACAAGATTATCCATTTGATAACCTTTCCTAGAACAATGATTCCCAATGTGATTGTTAAGGGAAGATCATATATTTTGCATGTATGCCACTGGCATGTGTACACCTAAAGTGAAACTAAACTCAAGCATTAAACCTGAAAAACGCATTCAAGTACCTTTTTTTTTTATTAACAAAAATATATCTTATCTGTGTATCACTCGGTTATAGATCCTCAAATCATCTCTGAATTGGTGCTGATACTGTCCTTCGTTTTGGAAGGTGGCTACTTTTGTTCCCCATGTTCCCTGTGTGTGTTGTAAAATAGCCACCACTCGAAGTTTGCTCCTGTGATGAGCTACAATCTCACGTGTAGTTTACTAATTTGTATTGAGATTGTAGTCTATCATGGGAGTGAGCTTTGAGTGGTGGCTACTTTACAATACACGAGGACCATGGGGAACAAAAGTAGCCACCCTCCAAAAGGAAGGTCAGCATAAATTCAGAGATGATTTGAGGTTCTACCACTGAGTGATACATAAATAAGATACATTTTTATTAATAGTTCAGGTACTTGAATGCATTTTTAAGTTGTAACTCAAGTTTTGTGTAACTTTAGATTGTGGATGAAGTTAGACAGTATTTCTTCATTAGTAAAAAGAAGCATCAACTAAATTAAACTTGTAGCTTACTGCTCCTAAATCGGGCCCTTTTTTCTAACCACTAGAAGCCTCATAACTGTTTATCAAAGCTTGGGATGCTTTATATAGAAAGAAAATACAGTGCATCTAAACCTAAAAACAAAACTAATACATTACAGCTTACTAGTCCTTAGATGTGGTGGCTGCATTTCTATTACGGATGCACCTATATCGGTTTTCCAGTATGGAGTATAAGTACCAATGGTTTTTTTCAGTACTCACCGATACCAAATACCGATACCGGAAGTACCATTAAGGAAGCCAGATGGTGTGTAATGACTCACCACCTGGCTTCCTGATAAGCATGGGCGGCATGTAAATACTCGCCACCCAGCTTACTGATTAGCCTTTTCCATGCTCCCTCATCATGTGATGAGAAATTGCCTCAAAGTTTTTCTGTCGGAATGAAAAGGAATGAAGAAGGGTTTGTGCATCATTATGATTTTAAACAAAACTTCTTCTAAAGAACACAACTAGACAAGTAATAGGACCAACTTTGAATTTGGAAACTTGCCATTTGCAGAATGATAGACAATGTACAACACAATAAACTGGAGTTGAAAAGATCGGGTTAAGACCTTTCTGTATGTTTCAGGCAAAACTAAAACCTATTTTTAAACCCAGCAGCTTGAAAACTGTAACTGCTTTGAGAAGTTGACATTCCATGTGGCAAAAGGCA